GTGGGAAGGTGGGATTGTATGGGATTTGTAGGCCACTATGTGACCACTGGCCTTTATGATTGAGATGGGAACCACCAAAAGATTTTGAGTGGTAGAGAAGAATAATCTGACTTCTGCCCTTAAAAGGATCACCATTCTCTGTGTCAAGGCACAGACTTCAAGTCTTGACAAACATTTAGTCCTTATTTAATCCACATAGAGATGCCTTATGAGGTTGGTGTTATTATCTATTTTTTTTTTCTTTCTTTATTGATGAGGAAATTCAGGCCCAGAGAGATTAGGTAATTTGGCAGTTAGGACTGAAGCATAGACTCATCTGATTCCAAAGGCCACAAAGACCAGAGAAAAAGGAGCCCTTAAAAGGGAAGGGGTTCTGATGATGGAGGGATACTGGGTGTAAGAAACAAACCCTAGAGTTTGGCAGCTGACAGGATGTGTTGGGGAGAAATGAGTGTCAACAGTGTCATTTGGAGCCTGCCCGTCTTCTAAGAGAATAGTGGTACTGTTAATAAAATAGGGTGTCAATAGTAGAAGTAGGTTTGAGCTAAAAGATGGAGGGCATGACTTTGGCGGGTGGTGGCTGAGGTGCTGGTAGGAAATAGTGGAAATGTCTGGTTGATCCAGAAAGAAGAGCTCAGAAGATGATGGGGACCTGGAATCTCCCATCGTGGTTGTGGTTGAAGCTTCAGGGATGGGTGTGCTCTCTGAGAGCACTCAAGGGAGGACCTGGAAATGTCCCTTCCTGTGGGAATAGGGAGGGAGGGAGCCAAGGAGGGGGCAGAAATCAGGCCGTGAAGGGCCACAGAGCCTAAGAGGTGAGCGACTCAAGGGGCAGGGAGAGCCATGGAACAGGAAGTGGCCGGCTCCTAGTGGGTGGTCAGAGCTGCAGGTACATGGGCTCGCCAGAGTGGCTGGAAGAGCAGCCAAAAGGGTAGGGCTGTTGGTGCTGCTGGATGGAGCCACAAAGACCCATAGCTCAGGATGGAGCAAAGTCAAGAGTCCACGTGTGGCCCAGCACAGAGGGAGAGGGCATGAGGTTCCAGAGAGGATGGGATGGAGAATGAAGGTGGGACAGGTATTCGTGGAAAGATGAAAATTCATGTCTTGTGGAAATAAAAATGTTTAGGTTTTCACCCTTGTGAACTTGGGCAAAGGAAGAATGTGACCATCTGTTTAAGGGATTTCTGTCCCTGGTTAAAAAAGAGGCTTCGATGAGCACAACAGTGGCAGTGAGGTCACACAACCTCACCTGGGTCTCTCTGGATGTAAAGATTATGCCATTTCAAGCCTGAGCTGGACCCATTAGGGGAATCGGGTCCAGTCTGGTGGCTGCTCTCTGGGAAGCAGTGAGCAGGTTTGTGTCTGCCCCTGTCAGTTCCTCCTCTGGTAGCCTTACCTTTACCTTGATTAACCCGTTTTCATACTTGCAAAGCAAGCCCCCCTCTGCCCCCACCCCTTTTTTCCCTTCTGAAAGTAAAACAGCTTTGTGAGATGGCTTTTATCAGTCTCCATACAGATAGAGTGGCTTATTTTGTAGCAGTGTTTGTTTATAGCCTTATATTTAGGCCAGGTTTCTTTTCACATGGTTGAATTTTTTTTTTTTTTTAAGCAAGAATCTTGCCTGATACCAGTTTTCATTATTAAATAAAAACAACCACTTTTCCACGTTGGGCTTTCATTGCACATTTTCAGATGATGCAGTTTGCTTTTATTTTGCTGGCTTTCCAAATATTTTTTTATCTCTAACCTTTTATGTTATGGAGAATTTCAAGCATATGCAGAAGGAATAGCAAAATAACTCCCCAGTGTTACCACTTTCATCTTTCACAGTTATCGGTTGGTTGCCATTTTTCATTTTATCTGCCCTTTTTGTAGTATTTTAAAGATTTTGTTTATTTGAGAGAGAGCGCACGTGCATGCAGGTAGGGGGAGAGGCAGAGGGAGAGGGACAAGCAGATTCTGCGCTGAGCACAGGGCTCAATCTCACCACCCTGAGATCAAGACCGGGTCTTGAAATCAAGACTTGGACATGTTTTCACCCACTGAGCCACCCAGGCGCCCCTTTTTTCTAAAGTATTTTAAAGTAGATCACAGATGCAAATGATTGTTTAAGAAAACAAAAATCTAGGGTATAGGTCACCGCTCCCCCTCATAAGCCAAGCAGCACTTTGCTCACCCGTGCAGCACTTTGCTCACCCGTGGGAGCTGACTTAATGGTGGTGCTGTTACATGGCTTCCAACTCTGCACATGTTCATTCCAGGGACCGTATCTTACTGAGTGGATGGGAATGCTAAGATAACCAGAAGCTCCTCCTGCTGGAGTTCCTGTCTTCCTAAGCCTAGAATTCTAGAAGCACAGTTCTTACACACCCGTATATCTGTCCCACGGGTTGTTTCCTGGCTCCTGCCAGTGGCCTGTGTCTTCGCGGGAACCTCTTGGGTGCAGGACACAAGTTGGGACTTCAGGCCTCGGTGTCAGGTGACCAGCGGATGAGCTCTAGAAAACCAGGAAAACCTGCGCCTGAAGACAGGTGCCTGAGCGGGCACAAGCGCCGTCCGGCAAACATGAGCCTCTGACCAGGACTGGAAATCCTGTCGGTCTCCGTGTCTTGTTGCCGGGGAAGGGCGGGAATCCGGCAGCGTCCTCTTCAGCTGTGTTTATCTGCGGTACCTCAAAGCAGCTGAGATGAACAAAAAAAGAGGCCTTCTGACTGCCGTGCTTTGTTCACACCGCATGTGGCATTCTCGCTCCTCCGGGCTTGCACGCCATCCGGGCTGGGTCGCGGGAGCTTGGCTGTGATGGCACCGTGGCCCCTTTCAGCGGGTGAACACCACGCGCTCTTGTTTCCTGTCTCTTGCATCAGTCTGTTTGTGAGAGTGTACTGAGAGGTGACTAATGGGGACGCTAAACAGAGGCTTCCTAACTGAAAGTTCCTCCTGTTTCCTAAAGTGTTTTTGGCTTAATGAATTGTTTGTTTGCTGCCCACAGACCACATGTGCTGTGTGCGCTCCTGTCCCCATGAACACCGTGTATGCTTTTGCGTAGGAGCTGGGCTTGTAGAACAGTCAACAGATGATAAGTCTTGAAAGAGTTCTCTTCATCTGAGGACCCCAGGCGACTGGGAGAATCAGGCAGCCGTCTGTCACGACCGGCACAGCCCCTGGAGCCTGGCACGCTGCATCCAAAACCCTGTGACACTATTTGCCATCCTCAGCCCTGGCTTTGAAGTTGTGGACGCCGTGGCTGTGCGGCTTGTGGGGCTTTGGTTGCTGGGAATCCCTCAGGACTGCGTGGTCCTATGCCTGTGGATTTTCACGCTGTGTCCTGTCGGTGCGCCCTCATGCCACCTCCAGGAACAGGAGCATCCTCTTGCTTCGTGCCTGGGAGAATCTGGGGAGGGAGAAATTCTCCCGGTTTTGACTACTGAAAATATAAAATTGACTTTGAGAAAACGCTTCCCCCCCAGTTTGAAAAGGAATGCCTGTTTAGATTTTGGGAACTACACAAAAGGTGGGGGAGTTACTTCCAATAAAAATAACTTGGCATTTTTTTTGCCTTTCCATCATTTTTTTTTTATGTGCATTGAAGATTTTTCTCCTCAGCTGCATTAATACTCTGTATATTGTTATCTTTTCTCCTGAACATCACAATGTAAAGATTTGTACGTGTTTTTAAAATTGTATAAGCCCTTTTAGAAGCCTTAATTTTCTGCCAAGTGGACATTCCCTAATTTAACCATATTATTGAATAGTTAATTGTAATTATTGAATAGTCTGTTGTAATGCTACTGTGAGCATCTTTGTACACAAAGCATTTTCTATGTTTCATATTACTTTTATTTTATTTTAAAGATTTTATTTATTTATTTGAGAGAGAAAGAGAGAGAAACAGCATGAGAGGGGAGAAGGTCAGAGGGAGAAGCAGGCTCCCCGCTGAGCCGGGAGCCCGATGTGGGATTCGATCCCAGGACTCCGGGATCATGACCTGAGCCGAAGGCAGTCGCTTAACCAACTGAGCCACCCAGGCACCCTGTTTCATATTACTTTTAATCTAGATTTTTATAGAAAGGGAATAATTTATGGATCAAAGGGAATCAAGGAAAACAAGCCCTTGGAGGCTCTCAGATCGCCATATTGCTGCCCCAGTGGGGTGTATCCATTTACCACCAACCAATTTCTCATCAACAGGAAAATTTATTCTTAAGCCACAGTTTTGTTTTTCCCAATGGGAGTTCCTAGTATCACTCCAGGAATCTGTGACAAGGTGATGGCTTCGGTTTTAAAAGTCCTTGATGTGTCAGAGACACTATGACTCATTGTCCACTGTGGGTTGTGACTGGTTCTTCCTTCGATGTCCATCCCCCAAGTTATGTGCATGTTTCTTTTTTTTTTTTTTTTTTAAGATTGATTTATCTATTTTAGAGTGGTGGGGGAGAGGGAGAGAGAGAATCCTCAAGCAGACTCTGCGCTGAGCACGGAGTCTGACATGGGGCTTGATCTCATGATACTGAGATCATGACCTGAGCTGAAATCAGAAGTCAGGTGCTCAACCTACTGAGCCACCCAGGCACCCCTGTGTGCACATTTCTTGACATCAGTTACATTCTGCTATGTTCTCTAGCCAGTCTCGGTGACAATCTGTGTCTTTGGGTGTGTGTTGTCTTTTTTTTTTTTTTTTTTTTAAGATTTTTGAGAGATAGAGCAAGTACGAGAGGGGGGTAGAAGCAGAGGGAGAGAGAGAGAGGCCAACTCCCCCTGAGCAGGGAACCCGATGTAGGACTCAATCCCAGGATCCTGGGATCATGACCTGAGCAGAAGGCAGAGGCTTAACTGACTGAGTCACCCAGGCATCCCTGGGTGTGTTTTGCAAAGTGCCTTCATATACATTATCTGGTAAATTTAAGATTTTGATATCACCTGTGAATCTGTCCTGGGGACCTTCTTGGAATCCTGATATTTTATAGTCTGTCTGGTGATGCCTTTGTTGTTCTTTTGCACAGATCCGGTTCTGCAGGTTCCAACACATGTGGAAGAGTAAGTGTTCCCTTTAATTCATTTTCCTTTTTTAAAAAATTCATTTTCTTAATTATTCAATCAATATTTAGGAAGCTAGCTGCTGGGAGTGCATATATGCATACACTTTTATACACTTAAGGTATAATGAGAATGATGGAGACAGGAAGTCTTACAGGTGCTGTGACCTGTGTTAGGTGGTCAGTTCTTGGGGGGAGGGAGGCAGTGATATTAAAAAGGCTTCCTTGAGATGAAACTCAAGTTGAGTTTTGAGCTTAAGCTGCCAAAGTCCTGCCAGAGGGTTTAGATCTCTCCCTCTTCACTGTGTCGTACCATGGAAAGGAAACATGAATGTGACCTGCTACTAGAGAGTATGTTATGGCCCCTGTAAGAGCTCAAATGATGGGACATCCTAAGCACAGAAAAGATTCAGCAAGGGGTTTTTGAGTTCCTAGCCCTAGTTCAGACTTCACCAGGTTAACCTTACCAGAGACCACCTCGTATCTACTTCACAGGAAGCCACGGACTGGAGACCATCATCCATCTCCTTGGCATGTTTTCTCTGATGTCAAGCTTTCAGAGTCACTTTTATTGCTTCCAGTTTAAAAATAAATGTTTGTTGAACACTAAAGGTAGATTTGTCCTACCTGTTTATGTACTGTTCCATGCTATTAAATATTAATTGTTGAAGTTCTATACACAATTGACTTAGAAACTGAAAAGCAGACTTACTGGGTCCTTTTTCACTTATTTATCATCATCCAGAGTGCTTTGACCAAATGATGATTTACTCTTCTATGGTTTTTTACTTTTTTTTTTCTTGCAGGTTGCTTTTTTCTGCTCAAATATAGCCTATCACCATAGGGATATTTTATTTGTGGCTAAAAGTGAAAGAGCGGTGGGTGGAATTGTCTTATACACACACATGCCCCCCTCCCCCCAATCATGACTTTGCATGGCTTTGATATTTTGTTCTGTGCCCTGTTCTATAATTTATTACTAATACTTACTGCTCAACCTCTAGGCCTGCCTTCCTCCCAGATCCCAATGATGGCAGCCTGTATACGCTTGGGGGCAAGAATAATGAAGGCCTGACGGTGAGTGTATTTAGATTCTTTATGTACTTCAGAGGTTCCAGACCAGTGGTCCTCAACTATTGCACACTGAGATCACCTAAGAGCTTAAAAAAAAAAAAAAATTCCTGGAGATTGTGATTCAGGTGGTCTGGAGTGAGATCTGGGCATCAATATCTTTTTTTTTTTTTAAAGCTTCCCAAATGAGCTTTAATTTTTTTTATTTTTAAAAATTTTATCTATTTCTTTGAGAGAGAGAGATCACGAGTGGTGGGGAGGGGCAGAGGGAGAGGGAGAAGCAGGCTTCCCGCTGAACAGGGAGCTCGATGTGGGGCTCAATCCCTGGACCTGGGATCATGACCTGAGCCGAAGGCAGACGCTTAACCGACTGGGCCACCCAGGCACCCATCTAAATGAGCTTTTAAATGGCAGCCAGAATTCAGAAACGCTGATCTGGACCAGCAGGTTCCCATGGTCTAGCCAGCACACTGGAGGGGTAGAATACTCCCTTTAACAGCAGGACTTCCTCTAACTAGAGATTCTCAAATTGGGGGTGGAGGGTAGTTTGAAGCATTGCCTACCCCCACCCACCCCAGCAAATGTCCCCTTCTGGCATGAGGAACTAGTGATATTCCATTCCCATCCCATCGTCATTTGAGAATCTAGACCAGTGGTTCTCAGCCTTAGCTACACATTGTAATACCTGGAGAACTCTAAAAAAAAAAAGTCTAGATCCCAATCCCAAAAATTTCCACTTAATTGATCTAGATCATCAGCAATTTTTAAAAGCTCTCCAGATAAGAGAATTTAGAAACAGGTCCACACATATGGTCACCTGATTTATGACAAGGGTGATGCTGCAGTGCAGTGGGGAAGGGTGGTCTTTCAATAAATGGCATGAGTCAGCTGGGATGTCCATGAAAAAGTATCTTAACTCCTGCCTCACACCAGACACACGAAACTTAGTTTCAGAGAGATGGCATACCTAAGTGTGAAATGTGAAATAAAACTTTAAGAAAAAAAAGTAGCAGAACATCTTCACAACTTTAGAGTAGAAAAGGATTTCTTTCTTTCTTTCTTTCTTTTCTTTTCTTTTCTTTTTTTTTTTTTTTTGACTCGACTCCACGCTGGGCATGGAGCCCAATGCAAGGTTTGAAAACAAAACCGTGAGATCAAGACCTGAGCCCAGACCCAGAGTTGGACACTTAACCAGCTGAGCCACCCAGGTGCCCCAGAAAAGATTTCTTAAGTAGAATGAGATAAACAAAACAGAAACACCCCACACTAACCATAAAGGAAAAAAAACAATATATTGGTTTATATTAAAATTAAGAGTTTTTCTTCATTAAGAGAGGCAGGCCACACTGCACTGGCAATACACATATGACCCCAGCAAAGGATTCGTATTCAGAATATGTGAAGAACTATGGATTATTAAAAAGAGAACCCAACAGAGAAATAGCAGAAGAGGATATCCAAATGGTCATTAAACATACAAAAAGATACTCAGCTTCATTAGTTATTAGGGAAATGCACATAAAAATCACAATGTCCTCCTACTACACACCCACTAGAGTGGCTAAGATGAGGAAAATAGACAAAACAGGTGTTGGGGTGGGGAGTGGAGCAACCAGAGCTCTTGGACACTGCTGGAGCAAGGGCAACTTGGCATATCCAGTTTGGAAACCGTTTGGCAGAATCTGTAAAGCTTTATGACCCAGTAAGCCTTCCCAGGTTATTATGTACCCAACAGAAATGCCTCTGTGTGTTCACCAAAGACAGGTACCCAAATGTACTGCAGCGTTACTGAGAATAACCGAGAGGTGAAAATTGCCCAGACAGCATCAATAGTAGACAGAATAAAGAAATTATGGAACAGTGATACAATTTAATAGTCTATACCTGTGAGAAGCAACAGTCTGCAACTCCACATGGTAACATGGATGAACCTCACCAACCAGAGGTTGGACAAAAGATGACAAACTAGAAAGGCTGCACACTGAATGATTCATTTATATAAAGCTCCAAGACAGGAAAAACTAGTCTATGCTGTTTTGAAGTTAGGATAATGATTACTGTGGAGGGTTACGACTGGAAGGGAAGGCAAGAAGAGGGCTTCCAGAGTGCTGGAGGTGTCCTGCTGCTTCATGTGGATGCTGGCTATGTGGGCTGGTTCACTTTGCTCAGCCTCACTGAGCTGAACTGTACACTGCCGTGTGCCATTTGTATGTTCTGCTTCAATAGAAAGTCTTTTTTTTTTTTTTTAAAGCCTCCAAGTGATTCTAATGTGCAGCCAAGGTTGAGAACCAGTGGTCTAGAATGTAAGTGGCTGTGAGCTCTAATTGGGATTCTTTTTTTTAAAATATTTTATTGATTTATTTGACAGAGAGAGAGAGACACAGCAAGAGAGGGAACACAAGCAGGGGGAGTGGGAGAGGGAGAAGCAGGCTTCCGGCCGAGCAGGGAGCCCGATGTGGGGCTCAATCCCAGGGTCCTGGGATCATGACCTGAGCCGAAGGCACACCCTTAAGGACTGAGCCACCCAGATGCCCCTAATCGGGATATTTTAACCTTATCTTCTGAATACCCATGACTGGAACCGATGGGAGGAAGGCAAGCCTTTCGTGCAGGTGTGCTTGCCCCACTGTCAGCATTTCCCTTCATATCCCCAGAGCCTGTTTCTGAGTGCTCTGTTTGCTAGACACTGTGTGCAGCGATTTGTGGAAGTTGTCTCATGTTTCAGCAGCCCTCTGGGATAGAGATGTTATCCTACATAAGAGGCGTGGAAACTTCACCCATAGAGGTGAAGGAATGTGCCCAAGGCCAAAGTGTCAAGTGTTGGAACTTGGGACTTGAGCTCGAACTTCCAAAGGATGCTCTGACCACCACCCCTCACGTCTTCCTGTGTTGTGGGTTAACAGTTCTGTGAGCCATGTGTTTCCCAGCTTGGGCCTTGAACAGGAGGCCTGTAGAAATGCTCAGCAGACTATAGGGCTCCAGACTGGAAGCCTTGCAACGACCTTCTGATTCTCCAAAACATCTGGCAAAAACCCAGTCAGCCATGACAGCCTCCTGTGGCATTTCTCCTTTTAAATGTGGGGATAATGGGAAAATCCAAATGATTGATTATTTCAAGTTCTGTTTATTTTTTTAAAGCTTTTATTTATTTGAGAGATATTATTATTTGAGATTATTTGAGAGATTTATTTATTTATTTGAGAGAGAGAGAATGAGAGATAGAGAGCACAAGAGGGAAGAGGGTCAGAGGGAGAAGCAGACTCCCTGCTAAGCAGGGAGCCCGATGTGGGACTCGATCCCAGGACTCCAGGATCATGACCTGAGCCGAAGGCAGTCGTTTAACCAACTGAGCCACTCAGGCGCCCTCAAGTTCTGTTTATTAAAGCTAGAGAGAAATCTTTTCTTTTTTGGAGAAAAAGATGACAGTGTAGTAGAAGCAGGTATCTACAGAATAGTTTCAAGAACACAGAATGTTCCAAAAATAAAGTATACCGAAACGAACATTAACCAAAGGAACTCGTCACATGTCAACTGTAGACTCAGAAGACTCAGTTTTATGATGAAATGCAGTTGAAACATGTGAATTCTTCTGAGTTTGAGTTTCTTTTTCTGGTACCTACCATAACTTATTTTTAATACCAAAAGGCTTAATTCTCTTGTTTTTTCAGTAGAGCATTATTCAATGAAAACATCAAAGTGACTTTTTCCACCTCAAACTCCTGGGTCACCCACATAATGACTACTTCTCCTTTCCCTTAAAGCTTCAGCTGGGTACTGAGGTTGCTTTTCTTCAGAATTAATCTCATGGCTCATCCACACTCTGAAAAGCATGTCATTCCACCCAGCCTAGCTGGCTGCGGGTCAATTTTCAAAGACAAGAGAATTCTTTCTGCACCCCCTCCAAATTTCAAAGATTGTATAACTTCTCCATATTTGTATCAGTCTTCTCAGAAAAGGTTTGTGTTTCCCCTAGAAGTGCTCTGGACAAGACACTTTAAGGGGCTTCTGTCGGGGGGAGGATCAGGGAGCTGGAGGCTTGTTCAAAGTGGTTATGGAAGCCTGGGGCGGCCCTTCTCCTTGGTTTCCAGTTAGGAAAACTCCCATCAGCCATCCACACTGCTTCTGTCTTTTTAGCAGAATTGGGTAATAGAAACAGACTGTGCAGTAAAATTATAATAATTGCACAAGACTTGGTTATTTTTTCCTTTGCCTCCTTTTTTACAGAAACTTCCTTTTACCATCCCAGAGTTGGTACAGGCATCCCCATGCCGAAGTTCAGACGGAATTCTCTACATGGGTAAGAGTTCTTGTTTTCAACACTGAGACTTTGATCTCTTTGGAAATGAGTCCCAGAATCTGGGAAAGTGGCGCGTCAGAGAGAGAGGTGTGCGTTGACTCCCCACCAGCCCTTCTGGGAAAGGTCTTCCTTGCCTCGGTTGTGCTTGTTCACGCCAGGATCAGCTGACCAATTAAGAAAGGTTCCCCCCACTTGGGAGCAGACTTGACACCATTAATATGGTTATTCATTTAACAAGCTTTTAGCTGCTGTGTTGACTTACCCTGTGATTTAAAGATTGCAACATACCCAGAAGCAATTGGAGAAATTTAAAGTGAACACAATAGTCTGAGCCAAGAAAGGGAAGCCAGGTTCTGCCTATTAATTATAGGACTTTCTTAGTATTTCCTGCTATCAGAATATTGGATAAACCAGCACTTAACAGCTTGGCTAGATAAGCTGCTTCATACCTATGGGGTCACCTCTTTGAAAGCATCAGATCCCCTGCTTTTCTTTTACCATGTTGCTGCCAAAGTGTCAACAAAAATGCATTTGTAATACAAAGGAGAGCTGTGTTTATCTTGAAATCATAGTAGTAATAATATCCTGTATTTACATAGCAGCTTTCCTTCTGAGGAACTGAAAGTGCTTATTGCCTATTCACGCCTCGGGAGCTTTATGTGTATTTCTGGGCCTCAAGTGCAGGCTGGATTTTAATTTTTTGCCTGGACACAGGGGCTGTTGCTTTCTTCCACACCTTCAGGATGAGGAAGCCCCAAGCCTCGAGATTCAGAGGAAGTGATCAACATAGGCTTTCCCTCTCTCTCCTGGGCCATCTTCTTTTTTAAGATTTTATTTATTTATTTGAGAGAGAGAGCAAGCACAAGCAGGGGGAGGGACAGAGGGAGAAGCAGGCTCCCCGTTGAGCAGGGAGCCAGACGTGGGGCTTGATCCCAGGACCCCAGGATCATGACATGAGCTGAAGGCAGATGCTTAACCAGAGCCACCCAGGCGCCCCATCCTGACCATCTTCTGACTCTCTGTGTCAGTGTTGTCTGTCTGGGCTTCTAGCTTTTACCAGCGGTTCATCACTTATGTTGCATTTAGGATAGTGTGTTTTCTATCATCTTTGTGTGGTGCCCTTTTAAGTGAGTTCATTAAGCATTTTAAAACTGTGGCAATTGCCCAATCCATCCTTTAAGAGGTAGCTGAGTTACGCAGACTGTAATGGTCCTCGAAGTCACCAGAAGGGTGTCATGCCAGATGGAAAGGGATCATGGGCTGTTTGGTGATGTTTTCACTCTCTCTGCAGATCTTTTTCACATTAAGATTTTCTCGTTGAGAACAGAAAGTTATCATCCATGGACAAGTTTCACATATGTAGACTAGGCATGTATGTTACATCTGTTGAACTAAATGTAGCTCCAGCAAATTCTGATGCCCTGTTCTGTGATCTGTGATCACAGACATGTGATCTTCCTGACATCTCTGTACTCTGCTTCCAAGAGTCCCTTGAAATAGGACCCTTGGCCAATAAGTTAGGAAGATCCCAGTGACCAGAGGCCATGCCTTACAAAACAGAAATGCATACCTTATGGGGAATGTGTTGACTTTTAGATGGGAGGCCCATGCTACTGACCCAACATTAGCGGGTTGCTCTGGTGTATGTACCATAGAGGCATGTTCATACCTTTTAATCAGCAGACCAAGGTGTAGGGGTGGAGTGTGTGTGCCTGGGGAATAACTTACTGGCTGGAGTCTGGGGCTGAGATAAGTTTGGCCTCATTACCACCAGGTTGCAACCAAGTCTACGGCCTAGTCCCAGGCACCAGCTAATTAGAGTTATAAATAGTAACTGTAGATCCTCTTTACATGGGGGCTCCTTAGGAGGGGTGTGGAGATCTATGAATGATGGTTACCAGGGAAGTAAACCCTAGGTGCATTTCTCTATTTATATAGATCCTAGTCTGTGGGAAAAGGGTTGTCCTTCAGAGGCCAGGCTTTTCATATTTAAGGCCACTCATCAAAGCAATGAAATCTGAGTTTTATTAGATTTGAAGACATTTTTAAAGATTTTATTTATTTATTTATTGACAGAGAGAGACACAGCGAGAGAGGGAACACAAGCAGGGGGAGTGGGAGAGGGAGAAGCAGGCTTCCCGCTGAGCAGGGAGCCCGATGCAGGGCTCGATCCCAGGAGCCTGGGATCATGACCTGAGCCGAAGGCAGACGCTTAATGACTGAGCCACCCAGGCACCCCTTGAAGACATTTTAAACCATCATTAGGCTATTAAGTTATTATAAGACCCAGTGGGCCAAGAAGTTTTATTATCTCTGCAGTAGCATTCACCTTGTCACCCTCGGAGCATCACAGAAATGTCTTCAACACCAGGAGAACTCTGGGCCTCTCAGCACAGAAAACATCTTGGCCTGCTACTTTGGCAGGGATACTTTTTTTTCCATATGGGGTGGGTATGGTGGGTATGGTGGGTCACAAGGACTTGTGACCTTTCAGGTAAAAAGCAGGACATTTGGTACGTTATCGACCTTCTGACCGGGGAGAAGCAGCAGACTCTGTCATCGGCCTTTGCAGACAGCCTCTGCCCATCTACCTCTCTGCTTTATCTCGGGCGAACGGGTAAGAAGGGACCTTCTGTTGTGTACAAACTGCCTGTTTCCAGAAAAGGACGTGACGTAGCCTCTCCCTGGGTCTCTGCTCTGGGCTTCATTCTCTAGAAGGTGGCCAGAGCTGTCTTCTCCAAACACAGATTTTACCACGTTGTTCCCCTTTAAAAGCCCCCCTGATGGCTCCCCATGGCCTGAGCGATGAACCCACAGCACCGTAGCCTGCAAAGCCTCCATGATGCAGCTGCGGCCTTTTTTAGCTCCTCCCTGGCTGTTATTTCCCAGACTTAAACATTTTCCAATCAGTTCCCAGAATAAGACGTTCCGCAGTAGGTCCCTCTCCACCAGGTATGCACCTGTTTGGCTTGATTTGATCTTGACCCTGAAGCCTTTTTTACAGTGAGACTCTTCCAGCTGGAGTGTCAGTCCTGACCCCTCTATATTTTCTCTGTATTCAGCTTGAAAACTGAATGGTTTCTTCTTCAGCCCCTCTGTCTCACATTATATCACATGCAGTTAAGAGAAACTGCTTGGCACTTCCTGCGTTCTGCCTGGAGATCTCCTCAGCCAGACCTGCAAGATCCTTAGGTGCTTTCTTGTGCTCTTCCAAGTTACTGCAAGCCATAGTCCTACTAGTAGTGTCACTGTGGTGTAACCTGGGCCACCCCTTTGCAGCTTCCAGGAGCAGTTTCCTTACCGCTCCTTCAGTCTCCACGTTGGCCTGCCACCCTCCCCCTGCCACCTTGTCCCGGCCAGTGCCACGCGTCTCCACGTGTTGTCGTGGCCCTAGCCCACATCTGGGTGCCGGTTTCTAACATCAGCTAACTGTTGCTGTATACTAAACCACCCGGTCACTTAGGTGGTTTTAAACGACACCGTGATAAATAAAATAGTGATGTGCAATAAAAAAAAAAAGTAAATAAACACGGTGATATTGATTCTGTGAGTCATGAGTTCAAGGGCACAGCACAAGTGGCTTGTCCCTGCTCCACATGCTGTCGGCCAGGTTCACTCATGTGTCTGGGACTTCGGTTCCCGTCCACATGGCCTTTCTCTTGCCCCATGGATGGCCTGGACACTTTACACACAGTGTAGAGAGGGTCTGTCTGTTGCAATGTAGGTAAGGTCGGCACCTCAGCAGGGGCTGTGGCCCCTGCAGGTAACCGGCTGGTGTGTGTTCTCCAGAGTACACCATCACCATGTACGACACCAAAACCCGTGAGCTCCGGTGGAACGCCACCTACTTTGACTATGCAGCCTCTCTGCCCGAGGACGACGGGGACTATAGTAAGTGCTCCCGGTGGCTCTGCACGGCTGGCTGGGTACGCGTGAACGCTGAGGAAGCCAGACGCTGGGTTTTCTTTTAAGGCACTCTTGGCCACCAGCTTCTGGACTTTCTAAGGCTTCGACAGTCAGTATTGAAGGCAGGGGCCTGGGTGAGAAGTGTGGAGGGGAACCTTAGTAGAACGGGTGGGCCATTTAGCCTGAGAGGAGGGAGGATGTGCCTTGTTGAGTCTCTCTGTGTCCCAGAAGGAACGTACCACAAACCCATGGGAAGCAGAACTAAGTACCTGCTGTGATGTGAACAACCCACCCCCTAAATGTGACTCATCCCCTAGTTTATTTCTCTCGTAAACGTTCCCCCAACTCAAATGAAAACTGAAAGCCAGTTTTGCCATCTGAACACTGATACCTGGAAGTTTGACAGAAATCTCCTCTGTGGGGCAGATGTGGGCTGTGTCAGTGGTCAGCTTTGACTTTCCACTCCATCAATTGGTTCAAAATGATTGCTACAAAATATCCAAATCCTAGGCCTCTCCACTGGCTCTTTCTTCCTCACTGTTGACTCGCACTAATTGCATAGAATGCTAAAGAATCTCACCAAGTAAATTGCCTTCCACAGAGTGGTCCTATCTTATGTTTATAAAGCAGGCAGCTCTCACTGTCCTGATGTTGTAGATTCTGCGCGGGTTCATTGGAAACAAGTGAAATTGTCAGGAGGATATCTGAGAATACTCCAGAAGCCTTGTTTCCTCTAGCTGAGTGACTGCCACTTGCCAGGACAGAGAAGGATGTGGTCACAAGATGGGGTGAGACGGCATGCTTTGTTTATTTGATCTGTACAGAGATGTCCCACTTTGTGTCCAACGGCGACGGGCTGGTGGTGACCGTGGACAGTGAATCCGGCGACGTCCTGTGGATCCAAAACTACGCTTCCCCCGTGGTGGCCTTTTATGTCTGGCAGAGGGAGGGTCTGAAGAAGGTGATGCACATCAACGTTGCCGTGGAGACCCTGCGCTACCTGACCTTCATGTCTGGGGAGGTGGGCCGCATCACCAAGTGGAAGTACCCGTTCCCCAAGGAGACAGAGGCCAAGAGCAAGCTGACGTGAGTCAGGGGACCCTGGGCAAAATAGGGCAGCCGTGACCCAGACGTCCCGGTCCTGCTGCAGCGTGGCGGACCATACACAGGATGCCACGGTGCAGGGCACGCCTCTTGGAAGCCACGAGGTGGATAAAGAGCCAGGACTGGCTCAGTCAGAAAGCTTGTAATGCAAAAAGAACCGGGACATCCCTTGACGCGTCAGAGTTCTCAAGTATTAAATAAATCAGAAATATGGACAGGGATAAGAGACTGCTGATTCAGAACCACAGTACAATTTGGATCTATCTCAGCTGATGGGAGGACAAGAGCTATCTTTACCTTTTAACTTTCTAAATTTTCTAAATTTTTTACTGTAAGTTATATTTGTTTCCAAAACCAGGAAAAGAGTATTACCGTGTGTGTGCCTGAGCCTCAGCAGGCTTGTGTTCGCCATCCCCACCTGTTAGCAACCTGTACCTCAGTCCCTTGGCCTTGCCGAATCCCCATTTCCCGCTCTGCAGAGCTGCAGAGAGAGTGGATGAGACTGGGAGAGTGCTCTAGAAGTTGTACAGCACCTTTCACATGAGAGGTATCTGCTGAGAGAGGTTTGAGTTTAGTGGACGACCAACCCCAAACTGGCAATGGATGGTAACCGCAAGGGGTCTGGAGGTGCAGCCCCTGCCTTTTCATGTTGACCCCCACAGACAAAGCCGGACCCTCCCCCCACCTCACCCCTCGATGCCCTAGGCAAGGACAGCCCACCAGCGGGGGAGCAGAAGCCTCACCCAGTTTGGAGCTTTTTGTGTATCCCTTTGCTGTAGTCATCCACCTGAGAGCAGCTAACTATTTCTTAGGGCTTCTGTAGAACCTCTAGACTCCCGAAGAGTCACAATTCAGAATGGCAGCTCGGCTGTCAGAGCGGGCTATGGCCAGGGCCATCTTAGTGGCTCTGCAGTGGCCACGAGCATTCAGTCCTTCCTGGGGGAGCACTATCTGTCGTTGTTTCTGCAGGCAGGCGTGGGGATGGTCCAGCGCAGCCCTGCCCTTGGCAGATGAGGAAAGCAAGGCTTGCAGTTAGGTGACTTGTACGTGCCTCTGGAGGCAGTGACAGTCGGGGCCTGCAGTCCAGGTTCCCAGGACAGTAGCCCTGCCTTCACGTCCCCACTGCCCGACTGCCAGGGGTTAATCTGGTTATTCTTAACGTGGCATTTGGGACTGGGATACTTCTCTCCAGAAAGGCCCCTTTTGTGGGACACAGAAATTAAATGGCTGGAATGCGTATTTCTGCTTGTCTCCTAGGCCCACCCTGTATGTTGGGAAATACTCTACCAGCCTGTATGCCTCCCCCTCCATGGTTCACGAGGGGGTCGCCGTTGTGGTAAGTCTCCTCTGGGCGGCTCACAGGTGCAGCCTCCTCCCAAGCACTCCTCTTCCATTTTGGCAAAGAATGACTCAATTATATTTGAACATCCTGTGGGTAAAGAATGCAAACACTGGTCTTAGATCCTCAGAAACAGTTTCTGCCCATACCACATTCTACTTCTTGAGGGAAGATGCATGACAAGAGCAGCTTCCTAAGGCAAGGGAGCTTGGTCATTCCACTTTGCTTTCCTGTTCAAGTCTAAACTGCCCAGGCTGCTGTTCATGCCCTCCTCCATCTCCATCCGGGCCCTCAGGGCCCTTCTGCCGCACTGCTGGGGGCTCTGTGGGAGTTGTACAGCCCATCTTCTCCCCAGTTCCAGAAGGTTCCTGTTTGCCTTTCTCCACCTTTGTTCAGGCCGTGCCTCACGCATCAAATGCCCTCCCTTCCTTTTTCCTGCTCAAATCCTTTCCATCCTTTGGTGACTTCTCGAGGCCTCCTCAGACCTTACCAGCCTCTTCCAAGTGCGGAGCCAGCACTGGGCTCCTGGACGGAGCTTCTTCCACCCCTCACTTGCCGCTGCTTCTCACAGTAGCCTCCGGGAATTCCACATGCATTCTTCCGACGTCCCAGACTGAAGAACTTAGATGTCCCTGATAAAGGTGTCAGCGCAACAGTGTCACGTGTTGAGGGAGGAGCTGCTGCCATCTGAGGGCCTTTGTGTCTTGCTCTGACTGTCCTGGAGCAGCCCCATACTAGAAATCCCTCCCCTTGGGTGCGCGTCTACAAGAGCTGCCCCAGACCTCGCTCCTGTGCTTTATTCACAGCCCCGAGGCAGCACTCTTCCTTTGCTGGAAGGCCCCCAGACCGACGGGGTCACCATTGGGGACAAAGGGGAGTGTGTGATCACGCCCAGCACAGACCTCAAGTTTGACCCTGGGCTCAAAGGGAAGAACAAGCTCAATTACCTGAGGAACTACTGGCTTCTAATTGGTAAGAGCAGGTTTTGCATCCGTTCCGGCCGCTGCGTGCTGCCCTCTGATGGGCAAAGGTGGCCTTGCTAGTGACCGTGGCCAACTTGGCACTGGGCTCAGTTCGGGTCTGAGATAGTTTTTCAGACCTGGGGCCGTTTTTACCCCCAAGGAAAAGAAACAGGGTAACTGTGTTACCAAGTCAATTCTCAAAAGCCGTTTAATGTTCCAAAACCCAAGTACTGACTTGCGCAGTTCTCTGGCACACTGACCGTCTGTTACGTGCCAGGCGCTGGTACTAAGCACTTGAGAACCCACCTCCTCATTTCTGCCAGTAGACACCCTTATTATTCCACTTAGGGGAAACCAGGGCGATTCCTATGGAAGAGTTCCCTGGGGGTGGGGCTGGGGCAGGGGCTGGGGGGAGGGGAGGGTTGGAGACCCAGGAGGGTTGGAAGCCGTGACTAGATCGAGGCTGGACTTGGGTCAAGGAGCCATGGCAGAAGTCCCTGATGTGTGTGTGTGTGTGTGGGGGGGTCCCCCCTTTTCCTTTCGCTTCTGTTGTTGCTGTCCTTGCTAATGGCCCTCAGGGGGAATTGGGGGGTCCCGTCAGCCACAGAGATAAGTTGAGATGACACTCGAAGGCAGTGAGTGTGACAAATGAAGGCAGGGTCACGTGAGAGGAGCTATGTCTCTGGCAAGTGTCCCATGTAATTAGAGCGGGGCAGAGTTTTCTCGAGTTTGATTTGCCTTTGTGTGCCCCGTCTCCCCCAGTTCCGCTGCCTCCCGGCCCCAGAGGTGGTGAGAGGCAGGGATGCGGCCTCGTGAGGGGGGCCAGGAGGCAAGTGGGGGCTGGCTGCTGAGTGGAAGGGGGCAGAGAGAGGGCAGCGCTGGAGGCACCGCGAGGGGAGGGGATGTGGAGCAGCTCAGAAGAGTGTGGGCCCAGGAGGCCTCAGGATCGGCCCCGAGGCAGCACCCGGGCTGGTGGGGGGGTGGTAACTGGGTGTTGCAGACAGGAGCCTGAGCCTCCTGGAGTCCTGATCAGTCCCTTTATGGTTGTCCGGGTCTTGTTCTTCCTGACTCCCTGTAGCCACTTTTTCTCTGCTTCTTATTTCTACCAAATAATGGGCAAAGGAGACAACAGTAATTCTGCCTTTTGTTTTTCTTTTTTGAACAGTAGTTTCAAGAGCTTGCGTGAGTGGGCCATGTGAGGGGGGAAAATAGCTGTGAGCGGAGGCCATTAAAATTACAAGGTCACATAGTTTTCTGTACCAGTTAAGGGATACATAAACTGCTCACCAGTGGCTAAGAAGTGAAAAAATTATTGGAAACTAAGGAAGTGTGTATGTAAGACTATAAAAACTATGGGGGAAAAGTCTTCATGGCTAGGTCGCAAAATGATACCCTTTTAAAGTGGAAAGGTTGTCCAAGTAAGAAAACGAGAGAAACTCAACAAAGTATGAAGAAGTAATTAGGGAATCACCCCACACTTCTGAAGTCCCCTGGAGGGACTCCAGAGCTAGTCATTTTTTAGTCAATTTTATATAAGGAACTACTTGACAATCTTTGCAGAGACTCGGGGCCACAGGTAAAATGACATGCCCTTTTATGTCCAACTGTGTCCTTTGATTTGGTTTTTGGGGAAGACATTAAGGATATCCCCACTTCCACGTTGGTCTTGAAAATAAAATGAGTCCACTTAGCTTGAGCCGTGTGGTCTCTGGGTTTTCCCAGAGCAGTGGCGCTAACCTGGGGTGCTCTTGGCTTCCCCTGGGAGCTTTGTCAGACAAGCATGTATGACCCCTGGAGATCCTGATTCAGTAGATCCAGACATGATGATGATGATAAATAAATCACGAAGTCCAGGTACTGTTTGTACAAAAATGTGTTGGGATCTCCTGATGATGCTTGTGGAACAGTTGGTTCAGCGTGTGTAGCATGATAGCACCAAAGGCCCAGCTGTGGGAGACGCCTGTCTATGAGCAGAAGTACAGCAGGAAGCGAGGATCCGGGCCAATCCTGTCTGTAGTGGTCTGTGGCTAGGTCACTAGCAGGGAGGCAGGACCTGAAACACCGGGAGCAGGCCCTGGGGGTGCGGGTGGGGCAGGCAGGGCTCTGTAGCACAGGTTGACACATGGGAGAGCAACCCGTTTTCTCCTGGGCGGGGGAGAGGGGAAGGTTTCTTGTTAGTGAGCTTCAGAGGTACCCAGAGAAACTCACATTCAGATCCCCGGGCCCCATCAGCAAGGCCGATTCCAGGGTCTGAAGCAGGTAGACCCCACATGAGGACATCATGCTTCCCAACAAAGCATGTCTCACAGTTCTCACAGACAAGGGGAAACTGGTGGTGGTTCAAAACAAGATGAGGTTTCCCTTAAAAAACGATCTTGTAGAGGGGCACCTGGGTGGTTCAGTCGGTTAAGCGTTTGCCTTCAGCTCAGGTCATGAACCCAGGGTCCTAGGGTCAAGCCCCGTGTCAGGTTCCCTGCTCAGTGGGGAGTCTGCTTCTTCCTCTGTTCTCTCTCTCTCTCTCAAATAAATAAATAAAATCTTTTTTTTAAAAAAAAGAACGATTTTATAGAGAACTGACCTGAAGATAAAGATTTTTTCCAGATCAAGAAATGTACATAGTGTGGACTAGTTCTTGTTTATTTTTGTCTTGGAAATATAGACCATAGAATCTCTGATAGGTTTGGGACAGCAGTAGAAAGATCACAGGGTGAGATCCGAATCACAGGGAGAGAACAAAAAGGAAAGTGCGTCCTGGGGCCAACAGCCCAATGAGAGAGAGTTAACTGGCTCTTCTGGGCAGTATAGGAGTCATTTAATGTTAGAGCTAAATAGATTTTCAAGCCATTATCAAATCCCAGTTGCCTATTTTATTCAACTTTGTCTCTCTTACAGTAATATGCACACAGTAGATGCTCAATAAATGTGTAACATATACTAGGTAGTCTTCAAATAGCGTAGAGAACAGTGAGTGAGCGCTGAGAGAACCATGACCCCCTGCTCCCGTAGCAAATGCATCCTGTTTCTTCCTTGTGAATAATTCACCACTTCCCAGGATGGAAGCTCCCATTTAGATAACAGGAATAGAACTCCACCTGAGCAATTTAAATACCAAGGTGGGAATGTGATAGCCTTAGTATAGTGATATTTATAAGGTAGGCCTTCAAGGGAGAACTGCTTGAATTTTTAATGAAGCTTCAAGATGCTTCAGCAGCCCACAAGGTAAATTAGGAATTACCCACAGAAGTCTTGCTCTGAACATATCCCAAAGATCCTGAATCATCTCTCCTGACAAGGACACTTCTTTGCCCCTCATTGTGAGATCCAGAACACTGTATATCTGCCACTGGGTAGTGGCAATAAAATTTCTGTCTTGATGAGATTTTTCTGGTAACTGCCTCTCCTTTTCTCTTGCTTTACAAATGTGGGTGTTTGCACTCTGGGCCCTGACTCAGTGGGGAGCGACTGTTGCCTAAGCTTAGCATGGAGGGCTCCCACTGTGGGGAACTGGTCTCATGGAAATTTGTTTCCTCTCATAGGACACCATGAAACCCCCCTGTCTGCGTCTACCAAGATGCTGGAGAGATTCCCCAACAACCTGCCCAAACATCGGGAAAACGTGATTCCTGCCGATTCAGAGAAGAAGAGCTTTGAGGAAGTGAGTGGGGATGTGAACAGTTAGTTTCTGGCTCCTCGTGTCAGGTGTTGTGGGAAGGCATTTGTCCTTGCCTTTGGAGCTTGCAGTGGACTCAGGAAGGGAGAGGAATGCTGGGGAACCCATAGCAGACATCACCCAGTGAAGGCCTGGTGGGTAGGAAGACAGAGTGCTTAGTGAGGGCCGTGGGAAAGGCAGAGGGACAGGGGAGGGAGTTGGCCTGGTGGGACAGAGGTAGAGGGCACTGGAGGACAGAGAACAGCAGAGTTGAAGGCCTAGAGGTAGGACGAACCCTACGTGTGCAGCTCTGGGGCCAAGACCAGAGCTGAGGCCACCAGGTGGGGGGCAGTGGGAAGTGGGACCACGTGCTGCAGAGGAACCATGTTACTGAGCTTTGCTTGCGCCTGGCAGTGGAGCCAACGGTTGATGAGAAGAGGAGGCGGGAGACTGAAGCTTCATGAAGCCACGAGTGGCCCTTTGGAAGTGGCCGGCTTGGCTGCTTGGTCTGGTAGAGGCTTGGTCTGGCAGGGACCCAGCGTACCCACAGAATGGAGATTTGGGCAGCAGGGAGGCCCACCCAGGTGGTAGCTGCCGTGAGCCTCTGACCTGGGCTGCCCTCCTGCAGCTCTGGAGAGACAGAGTGCCAGGCAGGGTCTCAGCTGGACGCAGATGGCCACCCAGATTAGGATGGTCAGAGGGGAGTTAAGAAAGGGATTATTCGCACAGGTGTGGATAGCCCTAGGGGTTCTTTTAGCATCCTTTAGCCTGAAGTTGGGAGGTGGCAGTGGAAAGCATGGAGATTCAGTTGACATACTCAGCAACCCCAAAGAATTGGACCTCCTTTCCCTCCCCCTGCCCCATCTGCTGGTGTCCCAATCAGGAACCAGAGGGCAGGGAGACTCTGCTGTGCCCATAGGTGGCCGCCTTCTGTGGCACAGAGCAGTTGGAGAAGGTGGGAGGGTGGTTCTGCAGGGGGGGATTCCAGCATGGCCAGTGGGGTGGGGAGGGGGTCCAGAGAAGCCATTTAGACTTGGCAACTCCTGCAACCCTGCAACGGGGGACTCGAGCCTGAGAGGGGCCTGGACTATGGGCAAGGTCTGAGAAAGACGAGGGGGGCTGGCTGATATGGGGACCGAGATCACTGCAAGTTCACTGTAGGGCTCAGATTTTATCCAGAGAGAAAGGGAAGGAAAATTATGTAGCTGTTTAAGACTCTAGAGCGAAACATTTCGAGTTGCCTGTCGTCTTTGGAGGTAGCCAGTTAGAGAAGCACACTGAGTCCTAAGACAGGTATTTTGGAAAACTTTGGTGCCATAAGGTCTTGATCTGATGTTGATCTTATTAAAGTCACTCGTATCTACCACTAAACACATAGAAAATAAAAGTATAGAGAAGAAAATAAGACAGACCCTTAATCTAATGCCCAGAGATAGCCACAGTTAAGATTTTAATAATCATCCAAACTTGAACAGAGCTTTTAAAAACTCCACTATAATACTCTGAGGTGCATTTATATGGCAACAAGACAACCTTTTTAACAAACACTTGACCGAATATAACCAAGTGTTCCTGGTCACATGCTCAGCAGACATTCCTCAGCTGTCTGCTCCCCACCAGCTGTGCTGCCCCCACCCCATACACCATGGGAGTGAGGCAGCCAGAGGGGAGAGAAGCACAGGCAGAAGTCTGGGGGCGGGGGGCAGGGGGGAGGTGTGTGCAGGGCGGGTGACGCCAAGGTCTGGGCTTGCCAGGAGGCTGTGTGTTCGCCTCACTGGGCAAACGGTGACGGCACTCCTGGGACACTGGATGTTTGAGAACACATCGATGCATTTTTCGAAACTGTTCTTGGAGTCCTAGAGACTCCCGGAAGCTGAGATGGGAGGTCCGCTTTTATCTGGTTTAATTTTAGGCTTCCAAGTAAAATTGTCTTTAACAAAAGATTCTGATGCTTTTCAGAAACGTTGAAAAATAGTGGGATATGTGAGAAAAATGATTTTGCTTTTGGAGTTGCCCTGAAAGTTTACAAGCAACAGAAGCAAGCTGCTTTATTGTTCTTCAGCCACATGTGTGCACACGCAGGGTTTTCCTTTTTAATGTGAAATGGTTTTATTAAAGTGACTATCAACCTTTTCACCAGACTTTGTCACCGATGACATCAGAGTTTTCCCAAATATCAAATCTATCCTCAAAGGAGGATGTCTTTGCCTTTAGCGAGGCTTTTCAAAAGAATATAGGATCTGAAGGCCCTTCCAAAAGTACTGCTCTTAGAACTGTTTTTGAGTACTGATAACCTCACGGCAATAAAGCCTGGCCTCTCAAGATAGTCACTTTGATAAAGGCAGTGATTATTTGGCCATGTGATCTCTGGTGAGCTTAAAAAAAAAACAAAAAACCCAGCACATTCTACAGTATGATCCTTCCCAGTAGTCATGGCTACTCTTGACCATTTGGTTCATTTATATCTGGCCAGAAATTGTTCAGTGACTACATCACTCTGTCCCATACAAGGTTATCAACCTGGTTGACCAGACTTCAGAAAACGCGCCTACCACCGTTTCACAGGATGTGGAAGAGAAATACGAGCATGCACCTGCCAAGCCCGAGGCCCCCGTGGACTCCATGCTCAAGGACATTGCCACCATCATCCTGAGCACCTTCCTGCTCATCGGCTGGGTGGCCTTCATCATCACCTACCCCTTGGTAAAGCTGTGCCCCTTCACTTTGCCCTCCCGGGTGTTTCTGAACTTCCTTACTGGTCATCTGGTGTCCGTGAGCTCCATGCACAGCAACGCACATGGCAGACAAGCAGATACGTTTCCTTTCACATATCAAAGTTAGTATTTGCTTATCTTCAGAAACATTGTAGTTAAAAAGACACTAGTTTCTCAGGAAAGGACAGTTGTTTTTTTTTTAACCTATGTCTTAGAGTTAACTGATTGTAAAAGCTGATTTGTAAACCTTGCTTTTGCAGGTCATTTCAAATAGTCAACTGTATTTTCCTTTTTAAGAATAGGCATGATAGATGAAAATCCACTTACCAGCTAGAGTGAAAAAGGCGGCATTCCTTCCACTTTCTATTGGAAATGAGTCAGCTAAGATTACATAGTTGAATAGGTTGTCAGTTGGATAAAACATTCTAGAATATTCCTTCATCAGGTTGCTCAGAGCACTGAAGTGTCATCACCTTAGAATACTAGTGTCCGGGAAGCTCATGTCCCCTACAGGAATGGGAATGACTAACTCTTCCATTTGTGCAAATGGGTTCACTTGCATAGTTTTATATTTTACCTCACACAGTTCTATGAAGTCATTATTGCTGTGCCCTACCCACAAATGAAGAAGCTAAGCTCTGGGGAAGTTAAATAACTTTCCCAAGGTTACTCAGCTGGTAGGGGGCATTTCCAGGATTTGAACCCAAGTTCAGAGAAAGAGAGTGGGGGGGTGTACATGAGAGCCAGAAAACTCCCAGGGGGGATTGGCTACACAGCCGTCCCTTCAGTGACCTTCCCACACACAGGCAGTGATAATCACGGATCACTGCTACTTCAAATTATGACAACGAATTTTCCAGAATAGATGAGAGTAGGGGAGGTGGGGAAGGCAGCATGGTGAAATGGGGGGATTGGGACTTGGCCAGGCCACGTGTTTCAGCCACATCCAGGCTGTGAGGCTGTGAGCCCCAGCTGCTTCCTCTGCCTGTCTGGATTGGTGACCATCTGTGTGCCAACCTCTATGGAGTACACAACCGTGGTAGACAGCAAGCCCAGGTCTTCCTGTATCCACCATGCTCTGTTTGGTTCCTTGTTTGTAACAACTCCCAGACTTTCATAGAAGTCCCAGAATTTTAGAATTAAATGGACCCCCCCCCCCACCCTTCATCTGGCTTAGCCTCCACCTACAGCAGAGTCCTCCCTCTTGCCCCTGCTGGGCCCCTCCAGCAGGGGAACTGGGCTTTCCTGGGAAATACTAACTGGCAAGAACCCATCCTGCCTCCTGTGCCTTCTCACTGGTCTCGGCCTGCCCTGTGGGGTTCCGTAAAGGGTACCTGCTTCTTCTGCCACAGGGAGCCCTCCCTGCTGGCCTGCCTGTGTCCCTGGGGGAGCAGGCTGCACTTGTCTGGACGTGTCTCTCTCTTCCCAGAGCATGCATCAGCAGCAGCAGCTCCAGCACCAGCAGTTCCAGAAGGAACTAGAGAAAATCCAGCTCCTGCAACAGCAGCTGCCCTTCCATCCACCTGGAGACATGGCTCAGGATGCTGAGCTCTTGGACTCGTCCGGCCTATACTCCGAGAGCTCGGGTACCAGCAGCCCCAGCACGTCCCCTAGAGCCTCCAACCACTCGCTGCACTCCACTGGCTCGGCCTCCAAGGCTGGCACCAGCCCCTTCCTGGAGCAGGACGATGAGGGTAAAGCAAGTTGCTGTCTTCTCTTTCCTTTGAACACAGTCTGAGAACCATAAAGTACCAGGTCCTCCCGGGGAGTCTGCATGGGATTATGGAGTGCCATTTCTAAGGGTTCACGGTGTTCTCACCTCATTCCCTGTCACTCTGGCGGCCCCGGGCTTCCATGCCATCCCAGGGCCTTTCCCCCTCAGGGGCCCTTTGGGGGACCACCTTGCCCTCCCTCCATCTTGCTCCATGAGGGCTGGCAGTTGCTGCTGGCCAGAGGTCCATTGGGTGTCTGGCTTGAGAGCGTTCCTGATGCCAGCCAGGGGCCCTGTGTGACAGTGCCATTGTTGACCCACATTCCTCTGGGGGGTTGGCTCAGACTGGCCGTCTGGGCAATATTCTGAGGGGATGGATGCAGAGCTCGTGCAAGAGACCTGAGCCCCAGTCTCAAGCTGGAGGCCACTCCTGGCCTCTTCATTTGCACATCCACTGCTGCTCCCTGAAGGGTTCAGGCGCTAATCATAGGTGCATCTGTGGCGAACCCGTCTCCTGAGAGTAATGCAGAGGCAGGAATGGAGGGCAGGAGGCAGGGGAGGCCGAGGTCCTGGGCGTCAGTCGGGGAGTGGACCCCGCGGGTTCTTGCCTACCGCGGGCTGGGAACATACAGCCTGAGAGGTCCCGTCTCTGAATCTGAGCTCAGGAAGCTTGCACCATTCCGGCCTCAAGGTGTTTTAGATTGTGTTTGTTTAAAACCACTTCTTCCTGTTTTTGTCCCAGATGAGGAAACCAGCATGGTGATAGTTGGGAAGATTTCATTCTGTCCCAAGGACGTGCTGGGTCACGGAGCTGAGGGTACGATTGTGTACCGGTGAGTGGCCCCGGGAGCTCTGTGACTTCACCGCCTGTCCCAGTACCTGTCAGCTTGCGGGTGGCAGGCCAGGCTCCAGGGGTGCAGTGGGGTCACAGCGGTGGTGTGGTGCCAAGACGCAGGAGTTCACCTCTGGGGAGGAAGCGATGGTTGGTCAGGGCTGTGAGGCTCACAAGGCGGCTGCTGGCTCACGGGACAAGGAGCACGGTAGGTCCGTGGGTCTCTCGTCTCCACAGTCTGGCTTGCCCCCCCAACCCAGCCCCTGATCCTTGTCCTCAGGGGCATGTTTGACAACCGTGACGTGGCTGTCAAGAGGATCCTCCCTGAGTGTTTCAGTTTCGCGGACCGCGAAGTCCAGCTACTTCGAGAATCGGATGAGCACCCCAACGTGATCCGTTACTTCTGCACAGAGAGGGACCGGCAGTTCCAGTACATTGCCATCGAGTTGTGTGCGGCCACCCTGCAGGAGGTGGGGGCCCTGGGGGCGGCCTTGCCAGGGCCACTGCAGCCTTCCTCCTCCCGGCGGCGGTGGCTCGAGGGACTGAAATTTCTTTTTCTTTTATTTCTCTATATTTACTTTATTGAAGTTATAACATAGCCTACTCATTTTAGTGACCAGTTTGGTGCGTTTGACAGGGGCACACGCCCATTTAACCACAAACAATCCAAACGGAGAGCGTTTTCAGCACCTCAGCTTCAGTTGGGTGGGGCAATCTTTGGGTGCAGTTGGTGTCTGTCTCCCTGTGCCTCCAGGAAACCCGGCAGTTGTTCTCACCACTGGTCAGGGCTGGTGTGGGCTTGGAGGATGCTGGTTGAGGAGTCAGGTCTTTGAGATCCTCCAGTGATCTCCTTTTGCTCCGTCACCAGGCTGACTGTGAACCTCTCTTGGTGTTAGCTGGCTGCACGTGCAGGTTTACCTCTATGAGGCCATGAACTTGAATTCCTTGCTCTCTTACCTTTATCACTGTATACTAGTCCGCCAGAACTTCTGGTTGTTTAAGTGAGCCTATAGCTTCAGGAGAAAGTCTGTTGGCAAATGTGGATTTGGGCAGAGAATGTTGTCAGTAAAACTTCCCATTTCTTTCTTAAAATAGGAGCAAAGAAAATGAGCTGACCTAATCCCAAATGTTAAAGCAAAAAGCTGCAGGCGGGACTTTTCTAAATAAAATTGAATCACTTGAAAGAAAGAAAGAGCATGCTGTGCAGAGGGGCCCCTCTCTGCAGAGGGGCTTTGTACATGACCTGGCCATGGTGTCTCTTGCAGTACGTGGAGCAGAAGGACTTTGCCCACCTCGGCCTGGAGCCCATCACCTTGCTGCAGCAGACCACCTCAGGCCTGGCCCATCTGCACTCCCTCAACATTGGTGAGAAGCTTCCCTTTCCCAGGCCGCATCCCAGCTGAGGGGGGAGGTTGGGGAGGGTGGCCAACTGCTGGCGTGGTGCATCCCTCTGCTGAGAATCTATGCTTCATCGCTGGCATGCACGTGGGGTTTTTAGGTGGCCTTTTGACAATAAGAATTTGAGGAGGAACCTTTCATAGTCGCAGACCAGAACCCTTAGAGGTGGCAGCAGGCCTGCTGGGAGTCAGAGAAAGTGCACTCCCTGACACTACTCATGGTAAATATGGGACTGATCTGGAGCGTTCTATTAGTTCATAGAGACCTGAAGCCCCACAACATTCTCCTCTCCATGCCCAACGCGCATGGCAGGACCAAGGCCATGATCTCGGACTTCGGCCTCTGCAAGAAGCTGGCGGTAGGCCGGCACAGTTTCAGCCGCCGCTCAGGAGTGCCGGGCACGGAAGGCTGGATCGCTCCAGAGATGTTGAGCGAAGACTGCAAGGACAACCCGGTGAGCACTGGACACAACTCTCAGCCTCTTGCCTCTTCAGGAGTGACAGCCTCTGAATTTAAGACTTGGGGGCTGTGGCACATGAAGAATGACATTTCTTTGTCAAAGAGCTTCTGTGTGAACAGCATGCTGCTGGCACTTTCCATATGGTCTGCCATTCAGACGAATGAAAGGGACATATATGGGCAATTACTCTCCCCCCCGCCAACTTTTCCAGTCACTTCCAGCCCCAGCCCATCAGCTCTAGAGCCCACGTTCCCCGCTGTGAACGCCAACATGCCCTCAGCCCTTGCCGGGGGCCGGCGCAGCTTTGGGCACTGCCAACATGCTAGACGAGTCTCCTGGGACCCCTTCAAGGTGGGAGAAGCGGCAGCAACACTCCGGTCCTCACTGCTGCTGAGGCTGAGGATGAGAATTCTCCAGAAGGCCTCTCACACCCTGCCTCTCTTTTCAGACCTACACAGTGGACATCTTCTCTGCAGGCTGTGTCTTTTACTATGTGATCTCGGAAGGCAGCCACCCTTTTGGCAAGTCCCTGCAGCGGCAGGCCAACATCCTCCTGGGTGCCTACAGCCTCGACTGCTTGCACCCCGAGAAGCACGGTGAGCGGGCCGCAGGGTGGGAGGGGTCGGGAGCCACCCCAGCTGCCCAGGTGGACCCTTGGCCTGGAAGGGTGCCGGCTCTGTGCCCCCCGAGGCCCTTCTTTCCAACTGCTTGCCCTGTGGGCCTCCGTGAATTGATGACTCATTCCAAAGCTGGTAGAAGGTTGGGTAGGTTGTCTTTGGAGCACCTCCTCCTAAAGCCCGGCAGCTCTGAGGTTCCTTCAGGTCACCCAATGACCTGTGTGACCTGGGCAAGGCCCCCTTTGGGGACCTCTATTTTCCTGCTTGTGACTTGTGAGGGGTTAAGTAACCTGAGGTCCCTTCCTGCACCGACATTCAGGAAAACAGTCCATGCTCTGTAAACTCTTGTGTGCAGGCCAGTGGTCAGTGGGTGTGGTCTGGGCTGGGGACAGACAGGCTGGGTCTTGCTGTCTGGGTGCAGGGGCAACAAGTCTTTCTTCCTGACTTCAGGGTTTCCTGTGTTATGATTGACCCATGACACCCAGTGCCACCTTTTTCAAAAATTAAAACTGGGGCACCTGGGTGGTTCAGTCGGTTAACCGTCTGACTCTTGATTTCGGTTCAGGTCATGATCTCAGGATCATGAGATCGAGCCCCACATCAGGCTCTGCACTCAGCATGGAGTCTGCTTGGGACTCTCTCTCCATCTCCCTCTGACCCTCCCCTGCGCGCATGTGTGTGCACTCTCTCAGTCAAAATCTTAAAAAAAAAATTAAAACTTACTGTTTTGCTCATGGATTAATTTTCCTTATTCCCTGTAGAAACAAAAGGTTAGCATAAAGACCCACAACTCCTTTACACCATGATGAATTCCTGCTATTAATACCTTTGTGTATCTTATTCCAGTCTTCTAATTAGACAGGGGTGCGTCCTTTTGTAAAACATGGAGGTAAATCGTACATGCCATCGAACCCCTCTCCCTGTTGATCGGTGCTCCACAGGTGCTCCACAGGGCATCATCATTTTAAGAGCACAGCCCAGGACCTGGAGGCAGCATTACCAGAGCCTCCACTAGTGGGTATCTCCAATTACTCGTTTTCCCAGACCCGACCCCCGCATCAGCTGACGTTTGTTCTTAATTCCATTATTGCAGTGAGCTCCAGTCGGTAGAATCTTGAGTCAAAAGGCACACGTGCTGTTAAGGTTCAGGTATTTCACGGCGACTGTGGGCCAGTGATAATGAGTTCCTTGCTTGTTTTCCTCCTTTGTAGAAGATGTCATTGCCCGGGAATTAATAGAGAAGATGATCGCAATGGATCCTCAGAAACGCCCGTCCGCGAAGCACGTGCTGAAACATCCGTTCTTCTGGAGCCTGGAAAAGCAGCTGCAGTTCTTTCAGGTCAGTCTCTTGGGTTTTTGGTTTTGGGGTATTTTTTTAATCAAAAGCCTTCATTTAACTTCTCCCAGATTTTAAAAAACAGAGCAAAAGACAATGAAACAAATGACTCCTAATCCCATAACCAAGAGATAACCATGGTTGGCGTTTTAACATATTTTCTTCATATAGCTAAAAGTGTGATTAGGGTCAAACTGTATATACAATTTTGTATCCTTTTCTTTTTTCAGTACCTAATATTTTGATACAGTATTTCATTACAGTATTAATAGCATTAGTAGTATTTGCAGTAGTAAATGTAGTTTTTTTTGTTTTTGTTTTTTAAAAGATTTTATTTATTTATTTGAGAGAGAGAGAATGAGAGATAGAAAGCACTAGAGGGAAGAGGGTCAGAGGGAGAAGCAGACTCCCTGCTGAGCAGGGAGCCCGATGTGGGACTCGATCCCGGGACTCCAGGATCATGACCTGAGCCGAAGGCAGTCGCTTAACCAACTGAGCCACCCAGGCGCCCCTGTAAATGTAGTGTTTTAACATACTCTTTTTCCGTGTTAAAGTTCTAAATTTTTAATGACTCTGGTACTTCATCCTATGGATGTGCGATAATTTAAAAACCTTAGGTTATGGGAACTTTCAAATATACACAAAAGTAGAGGGAATACTATCATGAACTCCCCTTTATCCATTCTCCCGCTCCAGCAATTAATAACTGAACCTCTACTCCCTCCTCGAATCTCCACCTCAGATTACTGTGAAGCAAATCTTAGGCATTATATAATTTCATTTGAGTCTCCTAAATCTAAACATTTACTTACATTGGATTCTTTCTATCCTCTTTTACCTAATCTTTGTCCAGATCTCTTTTTGCTTACGTTGGATTCTGAGACGTGAAATTAATATGATCAGTAGAGATGAGCTCTGTTGGTGGTTTGGCTGTTTTAAGGCTTTGTGGTATTGCCCGCCCAGTGGCTATTGTAGAAAGGGAACGTGTTTCTCAGAGTCTTCCCCGGTGTCAGTTCAGCATAGCTCGTCAGAACACATCATACCCAGCACACCAGCTCTGGAAAGCAAGCACACGGGCTCAATGCTTTTCTTCCCGGGGCTGGGTCAGAGTGAAGCTTGGGTTTAGGAGTGACCATCGCCCTGTCCTGGAATCTGACTAGAGACTTAGCCCCCAGTATTGAAGCTCCTTGAGGGCAGCAGTGGTTGACTTCCGGTTCATTGCTGTGTCTGCACTGCCTGGCATGTGGCAGGTGCTTACTAAGTATTTGGATGGATTGGGAAAGTGAGGGTTTCGTGCCATTTTCCAGGGACAACATTAGGATTGTTCACTGTGTTCCACGGGTCATAACATTACAGTTCTGAGATCAGGTGTCCTCAAGGGACTTCTGGAAAGTAGCCAGGTTCCTTTGATGATGACAAGATGTAGAACAAGAATAAAGCTCACACAAAGGGACCTCCAGCCTACCGTGGGTTAAGATTTAAACTCTTCATTTTTCCAAGCCTTCTCTCATGTGAACACACATGTCTCGAGTTGTCTCAACTAGCCACCCCGGCTCTGCGGCAGAAATGTGTGTCTACAGGGCGTCCAGGGCTTTCCTCTAGGCACTGTAAATTTGAGAGTCAGCCAGTCTGGCTTCATCTTCATCAAAGAAAGAAGACTATGGCCAGTGAGTCTGTGCTGCATCAAAACCTGTGGGGCTCCTCGCTCCGTTTCCTCAGCTGCTGGACCTCGAGCTCGGCTTGGGCTGTGGCCCTCAGACACAGGGCAGGGTGTGAGGCTAGGGCAGGGCCTCCGGAGCCCACATGCTTGTCAGCAACTTTCTTCCTCTCAAAGAGGCCTTCATCCGTCTTTTCTAACTGTTTGTATGAGGAGTGCTGACCGGCTGTGGATCTGAGCATGTCCTGTTTCCCTGCATTGACAGAAAAGCCCAAGATGCAAATCAAAATTGAGCTGCTGTTGTTGTTGTTCATTGATGAACGTTGATTGCACTACGGCTCCGTGTGAGATGCGGTGTGTGTGCACAGGGGTGAGACGTGGGTGCGGCATTAGGGTTCGTGGAGAGGTGTGACCCCTCCCCCTGTCACGGGGTGGTCTGTGTGGGTCTCTCCCCAGTGAGCCACAGACGGGGCTACTCGTGGGAGAGAGGGTGACGGATTGGGAGGGACCGAGGCACAACACTTCCTGTCAGTCCTGAGGCCCGAGGCTCATGTGGCAGAGACCAATCTGTGACTTGTGTGTGTGTGTCGCTCCTCCAGCTTCCGGTCCTCCACACCCTGACCATCATCTGCTGCCCTTGTCACCCTCACAGGACGTGAGTGACCGAATAGAAAAGGAGTCCCTGGATGGCCCGATAGTGAAGCAGCTGGAGCGAGGCGGGAGAGCTGTGGTGAAGATGGACTGGAGGGAGAACATCACCGTCCCCCTGCAAACAGGTGACCATGCCGACGCCCCAGCCATGCATGTTGGCGGAAACATTTCAAGAGTAGTAGCCGTTTCTAAGAAGCTCTGCTGGTAGTTCCAGGCAGTCTGGGCTCCAGATCCTCCTCTCAGGGTTGAGGCTTTTGTGGGTGTGTCCTCTGGGGTTTGTTACGCTGATGTGGGTTTCATTTTCGTCTCTTTGAATGACAGGTTAGTGATGGGTGCCGTGCTCTTAATGGTTATTTGTACTTGTGGGTGCGACCCAGAGGTGGCATTCATAGCGCTGCCCTCGGTCAGGCTGACTCTGGGGGACACACTCCTTTAACCCCGAGCGTGGCGTAGTTCTATTGTGTTTCAGTCTGATCGCTCGTCCCCAGGAGCCCTGGGAATTTTTTTTCTTTAGAAATGGGTTTGTTACATTGCATTCCTTGTTTTTTCCCTTAGATCTGCGGAAATTCAGAACCTATAAAGGTGGCTCCGTTCGAGACCTCCTCCGAGCCATGAGAAACAAGGTAAGGGGCGTGAACCCCCGGTGGTCCCGGTGACAGGGGTTACAGCCATCTTTCTCCTTTCTGTTCTCTGTGGGTCCTTCTATTCGTACTAGAATTCTGACCTCGCAGGGCCAACTTGTTCCCTTAGACGGGTTTTCTCTTCCGGGATGTTGAGGTGAGGAGTTTCGCTCTGGGAAGCGGGCTGTCTGGTGTCATCTGTGGTCTCTGCTGACTTGTGTGTGCCCTGTTCCTGTCTGAGACAGCACGGCATAAACTCCCTTGATGGGGACCTTTCCACACGGATCTGGCCAGTGGGCCACTCCGGTAGGGCAGCTCCTTCCTGCCTCCCCAGCCCTGGGCCTGACTCAGCTCTGAGGCGCCCTCCTGAATGAGGGGAAGCAGGGAAGGTAGGCGGATGGACCATTGAGTATCTGAGTCTTTTCTCTTTGACAGAGAACCAACTGACGTTCTATCTTCCTTGACTAGCGAGAGAATCTTTTACCCATGCTTCCTGGGCTTTCCAGCTGCTAACCCCTGTGTCTGTGTGTCCGCCTGTTTGCAGAAGCACCACTACCGGGAGCTCCCCACGGAGGTGCGGGAGACGCTGGGTTCCCTCCCTGACGACTTCGTGCGCTACTTCACGTCCCGCTTCCCCTACCTCCTCTCCCACACCTACCGGGCCATGGAGCCGTGTGGCCACGAGCGGCTCTTCCAGCCCTACTACTTCCACGAGCCCCCAGAGCCCCGGCCTCCAGTGACTCCAGACACCCTTTGAGCCAGGGTGGTCCTCCGTTCTGGTGGCCCCAGCTGTGACTGTGGGCCTGGTCTCTACAAGCCCGAGCCTGACGCCTCCCAGCTTGGCAAGGAGACCAGGCTCCCCAAACCAAGTGCCTTGAGCTGTCCACAGTGCAGCCAGCAGGGGATGATGCCGACCCCAGGAAGCAGGAACCATGACCCGTTCTGACCTGTAGGGAGCTGGGAAGATGTTGACCACGAAAGTTCAGCAGTCGGGGGTCCTCTGCCAAGGAGGGCCCATTCCAGAGGCAGCAACAGAAGCATCCTCCGCCTTCTCCTGGATGCACTTGCTTCAGACCTACACTTTTTTTTTTCCAACTTCCTGTTTGATGTCAGCCTGTGGGCCTATAAGGAAGAGAGAGGAGGGAATCCCACGTTTTGCCTGTGTCCAGGACCAGGAGCATCTCTCTCCCTGGCCAGCGAGCCTAAGAAGCACTAAGCGCAGCTTCTGCTTGAAGTGGGGCTCCAGAGGTGAGGGGTGTTATGGAGGAGGAAGTCGTTCACAGCGTGTTGTTCCTGGGGACCGGAGATGCCTCACTCATCACGAACGCGCCCAGAGTTTCCCAGTTCACTCTGACCAGTGTTCCTTGGGGGCAGCAAGAGTCTTGAGTGTGAGGCGCAGCGTTGGGACAGGTGAGCACCACACACTGGAACACGAGGCCGTGTCTGCAGACCTCTTAGAAACGAAGAGGACGCTCTGTCCTGAGTCCACGGTAGCCCAGCACATCGGTGACCTTTGGTGGATTTGGGGGATGTTTAGGAGCATTTGGGGGCAAGAGGTGATAAGTTCCCCATCAAGAAGAGCAGCACCCAGGCAGGAACAGGCCTTTGGGACCAGAAGGGAGCAGGCCAAATGGGACACTCACGGCCACCCTGGGGGAGTCCTCGGCCAGCAGGTGGGCAATGATGCTCCTCCGTCCCTGGAGCCAGCAGGACGGCCCAGGGGGTCGGGAGAAGAGGCCAGGGTCACCCCGGGCTCCATGGGCAGACTTTAATGTTTCTCTTGGCAGATTTTAATAACTTTATATTTTGATCATACTGTAGAATGCTATGTTAGCATAAGTAAGCTGAACTTGAAGCTTCCTTGTGAAGAAGATAAATGCAAGATACATAATTCAGTTTTTATTTTGTGGGTACCAAAAGTCTCCACCCCCTCCAGAGAGAGCGTTCACGTTCAGAACATGCTCTGCTGCAGGAGTAAAACAGTATAGCAGGGTTATATACATCCATTAAACAACTTCAAAGTAATGTTCCCTAAATTATGTCAATATCTTTTTTTGCTAAAATTAGTGTAGTTTTTAACTTTAGTTTCGGTCAGAAATTCCTGTCTTTTCCTCTACCGAGAGCCTTAGCAGTTAAATGTGAGCAGGCTACAGTGTGGAGGTGTTCCCCGTGTCCTTTGTCCAGCCAGGGGAGTGGGTCCCCGTGCTTCATTCAGGGCTGGGGAGCTCGAAGAGACTCCACTCGGGAGTGAGGATGTTACTGACGGACTGAGAACTCACTGTTTCTTCTGTGAAATGCTTCCTGATGGTAGATTGGACTGAGGGCCACTCCTCAAAAGCTCTCCTTCTGTCTTCGTAGAATTCAGTTCCCTTCCTTTCATAATGCCCGGAGTCACTTTTTTCCTTAAATTCACATTATCCTCCATCTGCGTTATCCTCCACCCTCACCGGTTACCTCATCTAGACCTGGGAACCCCAGTGTTCTGGACTGGCATTGTGGTGAGTCTTCTGCCATACCGCCCGTTTTTCAGGAACCCGGCCAGATGCCTGCCCCCTTCCTGCTCTGCTGCATCCATGCCATTGTCCCTGTGGCCCTGTGGTCACTTTGCGGCCAGGCCTGAGTGGCGATGCCCCACCCCCCCCACCAGGCAATCAGGTGGAGAAGGTGCCACAAGTGACGGGCAGGCTGTCGGCTCTCTGTGCTGCTTCTGTCTTGTGGCCGAACGGTGTCGTTGGGGGAGTAGCCAGTCACTTCTGGCTGCCCAGGGTTTGTGTCGTCTCGCTGTTCGGGCCCAGCTTGTCTCCAGGACAACTGTTTTTCACATGCCTTTTCTGCTTCTCTTCATTTCTAGCCACCCACCTTCTCAAATTCATGTATTCGATGTGTTGGATTCTGGGTACTTGCGGGGTGAGCCAGGCTGGATCCCAGGGGCTGGGGATGCAGAGGTGAACAAGATAGGCAAAACCTCTGCTTTTGTGAGAGCGTAGAGGGAGAGAGACAACAAACAGTAAAGATCAGGGCTCCAGGAAAAGCTGTCCTCCATCAGCCTTCTCTCTGTCACTTTTAGGAACCTGGTCACTCCTCAGCCCCTCAGGTGGCTTGAAGAGGTCTCATGTGGACCCCGGTCGTGCAAACTGCCCGGGCATCCTCCGCCACATCTCTCTCGTCTCTAGAATCCTGGTTTCCTGTTGTGCTCTGCACAATGAGAACGTGTCTGTCCTTTGCTAGAACAGGGCTCTGCAGCCTTGTGCATCCTGTCACAGCGGAGCTATTTGATCTTTAGCACGATTCCTGGAAGGCTGTTTAACTTTTTAGAAGTATACTATCTTCATTGTCATGACAGAATTTAGTCATATATGTTGGGAATCCCAGGGACACTCTCATTAAATCCTGTGTTGAATCTGTCTTTGGCACGCCTGCCGGAATTTCTCCGGTTGCTTCTTGAGTCTTTTAACTGCAGTTTATCGAGAGCTCCCATGTCACTAGGCATCAGAGCACTTGCACTTTGGGGGATCATTGGTGTCCGTGGTAAGTCTCTAAAACCCTGGGTGCAGAGGGGCTCTCCCTCAACCCTCCCCCTCCGTGCCGTAGCCGTCCTAGGCTCTTCCCAGTGAGACCTCACTCTGACCCATTACACGGATTAGAAGATCCACAGGTTAGTGGGCCCCGCAAAGTATTTTCTTTCTACCAACTCTAGAAGAAAAGGCCTTGCTCAGAATCAACTTTGGGCAAGGTTTTGTGTGAATGTGATTTGTTGACCATTGCACTTCTTTCACACCACGGTGAAAGATGCAGTGGCTGCTGATCGGCCTCTCGCAGATGTGAGGGGCCTCTGGGTTGTAGGCCTTTCTCTTCTTGGCCGCTGTCTCTTCAGAAGTTGGGCTCCGGCTGGGTTTGGGTTTCCTGAGTGCTTTCGCTCTCCCGCTCTGTGTATTGGGTCCTCAGCCTGGAGGTCCTCGCAGAAGGTAGGCTGGTTCGCCTTCTGCTGCCTTCTGTGCTGCGAGCCCTGGAAGAGCCAGCACAGCACACCTGGACAGAGCCTCTCTACATTCTCTGCTCTTGTAGCGTCTGAACTCCTTTTTCTTCATATATCGCAGTGTCTCTTCCTTGCTGATTCCTTCACCATCCTGGAGTTGTCCTTGCAGCTGAGTGTGGCCTGGCATTGGCCTTTCCTGGAAGAAAGTCACTGGGTGTCCCATACAGATGAGCCAAAATGCCACCTTCCCAGGTTGGACTATGATCTTTTAAACCAAAGTGTCTCCTCATCCTGTACTTTGTTTTCTTGATGAAACAGTGATTTCCCCCACAAGTAACCCTGGTTCCAGTTTTTTGTATCTGCGCGTAAATCCTTTCTGTATTCATTGGGAAACCACAAAGAGCGCATCTGCAATGAGCCTCCCCCTGGGGCAGCCTTAACCTCCACTTCCGGCCAAAGTCCCCACCCCACTCGCCTCACGCTGTGCTCTGTATGTGTTTGGCGGGTACAGTGTTCCTTTTCAGTATCCCAAAAGCTGTGACGGGGGCATCCCCACTTACCTAGAGAGCATTACCAGTCAACCATGCGGCATTCTCAAATGCAAACCTTACGTAGTGTTCTTTTTGCCAGGACCTATTTATTTAACCTATTTATATTTATTTAATTTTTACTCTGACGTATATCCAGCTATAATTGCACTTGCTTTTAAAGCATATCTGATTTGTTTTGGACAACACACCCCTGACCATTTTAAAACTGGAAAAAGAAAAGTTATACTGTGTCCTTCCATGGGATGGACGCCTCACAGTAGTTTTATCATTAAAGGGTGAGAAATTTGGTCAGGGTAAAAATTTTATTTTTTGAGTGATTTTTAAAAAAAAATTCTGTGCCATTGTGTCTTCTCTGCGGACAGTTGTTTAATGGGTATGTGTTAATTGTGTGATAGAATCCTCTCTGTGAACCTACAATCCTCTTTTTAGCTTTATATTTTATAAACTGCCAGATTGTACAATTTTTATGTGTATTTTTAAAGCTTGATGTGAGGGTAATTATCTAAGTTAAACAGCCTATTTTTGTACCTCCTGTACAGTTTTATAATTCTGCTGATTGATAAAGGCGTCTTACGCAGCGCCAACCACAAATAAAGGTAGTTTTAGACCTGGAAGTCGGCTTCATCTTCTTAAAAACTTGACCCCTACTCTCAGGCCTGGGGTGATTCCTGGCTGTTTTCCCGGCTGTAGGGATGGTGAGGGTGAGCAGCTGACTTGGGGGGTAAGAGGGGTGCAGTTGCCCACCAGTGTCCGAGGCACAGTCCCGGGGGCTGCAACGTCCTCCTTGGTGACTACAGGGAAAGGTTCTTTGAAACCCTGCAGGGAGTCCGCAAAAGTATCGGTTTGGGCTGAATTCCAGGAAGCTGGCCAGGTTGGGACCAAAATGCCCCATGGTGAGAACGAGACTCCAGCAGAGTTTGGGGGTGGGGGGTGTACAGTGAGGAGGAACCGGGACCAAGAAGCCCGTGAAGGGGTTAGAACCACTTCAGTAACTCGGCCGGAGCCGTGCCGGGAAAGCAGTGACCTGAGTGTGTCAGGGGCACATACTCCATCTACCCACATGCCAAGGAATGAGCCAGCGGCCAGTCTGGAATTTAGAATCCTGCCAGTGCGCTTCTTCCTTTCCATCTGGTGAAAAAGCAGAGGAGGTTCCTCTCTCTTGGATCACAGGAAGGGACAGCTCACAAAGCCCCAGGACTGGCTCCTTCTGCTCCGCCCGCCAACGTCCCATCCCTCTGGCTCGGCAAGGCCCTGGGGGCGTGCCTGACAACCATGGACACAGCCTCTGAAGCTCTGGATCACGGACACACCCAAACCCAAGGGAGCTGCAGGATGCTGTTGATGCCCACTCACTGCCTCCTGCCACTCGATGGAGCAGCAGAAATAGCTCTTGGAGTCCCCAGAGGGCTGCGAGGCCGGAGCAGGGGCCACATTTGGAACTGGCCCAGGCCAGGGAGGGGGGCCTCTGGTAGCACCCTTAGCTGCCTCTGAGAACAGAGACAGGCGCAGGTCCTCAAGAGGGAGGCCAGCAGGTGGTCGAGACACTGGCATGGCCAGGGCGACAGTTCTGGGCCACTGAGGCAGGGTTTGCTGTTTGGCATGCTGAATCGGTGTTGGGCTGCAAAGAGGGTGCTTTTTTTCTGAATGTTGGATACATTTCATTAGGTAAATGTGTATATTTACACAACAGCGTTTCATCAGCAAAGGCACCGACTTGTACTCTTTCTATTATTTG